TATAATTTTACACGAGGTAATATATGAACACTTCCATTTTGTATATTTATATACTTCATATTATTTCATACATGTATATCATTTGCATTTTATACAATTTGTAAATATTTATTAAGTCTTTTAGGTAGAGAGGGAAGTCGTTAATGAACAATGAAGAAGAAAGAAAATAGATAAAAATTTGCTGTGAAGTGTACGTGGAGAAACTGACATCTGTAATCAAATTTATTTTTCAATTAATGTAAGCAGAAATTAAAATTTAGGTTAATGCGAATTATTCCATGTTTTATAGGAAATATTGATGAAGCAGAACAAGAGTGGAGAGCAGGATTTCATCGCTGGAGCAATTACATGATGGACTGGAAAAATCAATTTAACGATTACACTAGCAAGAAAGAAAGCTGCGTGGGTCTCTAATTAATAGATTTACCCTTTCCGGAATCTCTACTTTCCTGTAGATTAAGGTAAAAATATCAGTGGCTCTCTCACATACCTAGTAAGAAAGCTATTACATAGCTGAAACAGTAATGCCAGAGGATAATATTGATCACAGCTGAAATAGTAATGCCAGAGGATAATATTGATCACCCATACTTTCTCTTAGTATTTCACTCAGCATGTCAGAACCCAGTGGCTATAACATGTTTAATTAAATTTCACAATATAAAGTTCAACAGTTAGTAATATGCATATTAAAAAGACCTCTTGCTTCAGTCTCTTCTCTTTTGAATAACTTTAAGTTTTTTTTATTTTGTTTCTTTTTTTTGTTTTCTTCTAAAAAAGATCAGTGTTCTTTTAGCAGGGAGTTGTGGTGGGCACCTGCAGTCCCAGCTATTTGGAAGGCTGAGGCAGGAGAATCGTTGTAGCCCAGGATTTGAGGTTGTTGTGAGTGATGATAGTACCATGGCACTCTACCAAGGGCAATAGAGTGAAACTTTGTCTCGAAAAAAAAACATAAAATAAAACTAAAAATTATCAGTGCTCTGCTTTTAGTCACATATGTCTTTTTACCACCACTCATAAAAAGGTATTTTTTAAGTGAATTAAGCCTTGAAGCACAAGAGACTATAATTTACAATATTGTGTCTTCAAATTAACTTCTAAATTTAATGTAAATAAGGGATATTAAAATAAACATGGAAAATCATTGTCACTTTGTCACTTTTTTTATATAATGGAAATAAAGGATCTTAATATAAGAGACTCAGTCACTTGGGAACACCTTATAATAGAAACAAAATATCACTACCAAGAGATAAAATATAAAATAATATAGTTATATCCATATATATATTTTTAAATATGTAGGGGTAGAGTCCTCACCTTCTATTCCTCATGCATTCAACTCTTGTTCTTGCTCACTTTCTCTGATCTCAACTCTCCCCAAACACGTACATAAGTGATGACCCTTTCTATGAGCCCCAAATAAAAAAGGTGGATGAGGAGAAGTCTAAAGTTACAAGTAACGTACTGTCTGGGTTGGGTTTTCCAGGCCTAGACCCAGAAATATTACAGATTACAATTGTAATAAAGAAATTGTTTAATTCCAGGAGAGATATGCTTATATTTCTTGCAGAAAGATTATTTTTGCAATCTAAGAAATTACAAAGCTATATTTAATAGCAGGTCTGACATATCCCAGTAAATGAATTCATTGAGTATTTCACTCAAGGGAAGAACTTAGGGGATTTTAAGTTTCAGGGAAGGGGAGCACATATTGATTATGCTAATTAAGCATTAATAATTTACACTCAGGATAGGACTAGGTGTCTATAGGTCTGTCTGCTGCTGGCTGGAGTATGTGCCAGTGAACACTGGCCGTAAGAATGTATCTACGGTTCCGTTCAGTATGGGTCTACCGTTTTCACTCAAAAGAGCCTCAGAGTTCTTGATACTTTAGTGATAGTTGTGATGAAAGCAAAGAATGTTTTGCTATCACTTAAGTACTACTGTAAATAAAGGCTTTTGCTCTATAGTATTTTTTTTATTCCAAAATGAAACAACCACACAAAGATTAGATGAATTCTTAGCTTTCCATTATACCACGTTATTTGAGTTTCAAATGCCAATCTACAGGATTCAACTCTGTTTCTCTGAATCACTTTAGTCTCTAGAAATATATGAAACGGCAGATTGATGTATGTGAAATAACAGGTTGATACCTGGTCAGCATCATTAAAGACCCTTTAAAATACACTTGGTAAGATCAAGAATTTGAAAAGGGAACTCGTATTTGCAGAACACCTTTAACTTCCATCGTATGACAAGTCCCACTCTTATGAAAAGATTCCATAAATTATAATACTTTGTCATAGCTTGGACAACTGACTGGTTTCCTCTTGAATCATAGCTATACACTCCTGGACCTACTCAGAGGCATTAACCTAAATACAGCATGAATCTGCCATGCCCAGCACCATTGTAGGAAGCTAAGTTAAGTTCAGACAAAGTTTAACAAAAGTGTTTTGTTTATATAAAGCCTGTTTTAAAATGAAGATGATCAGGAAAATAAGACATTTAAGCTTTTTAAACTAAATATTCTTAATATAAATGTAAATCAGAAGTTTACTTATCAAAACAATCTTGATGGAATTTTCGGATTGTCAAAAAATAGAGCAAAAACCTCTAGGTTTAGAAATACATATACACATATGTGCATAAACATACTTACCATACATTTACATAAACACAAATGTCTATTATGGTCCCACCTGGGCTTAGTCTAGTGAAGAAATTCACTACATGACGACTTGAGGGAGAGCAATCAGGGTGTTTTGAAAGCTACAAAGGAAGACTCCATGATGGTCATGATGTGATCAGCAATTAAATATTAAAAACTAAATAAAATAATACAAAATA